GATAAACAAACCATCGACACCTGTGATGGTTCCAGGTTAAGGTGAAGTACACTTTTTATCCTCTGCTTGTCAGTATCCGTTCAGCATAGGGCACAGACGAATATCGATAACGAAATGGCATTTGTCGAAATTCGGAGCGTAAGACGGGACCAGCCAACTTCTGCTAAAGTGCAAAACTTATACCGTTTAACCCCCACCTTCCAACGAAACTGTTGGGTTCGAAATAGGTCGGTAAATTTCCGACAGAACGGTATGAATTGGCTATCTTACGGGTCACAATATAGGCGACAGATATTCCAGTTAAAACCACGGATGAATTAGTTTGATCAACATTGCTTCACAGTTTCTGGAACTCAGGAACGAGGCTGGTGTGAGACTAAGACTAGCAATATATCTGACAGAAGAATCACGATATATTCACTCTTCGTCAAATTCTAAAACATAACACCAACGTATTCCTCCTCCTTGATCTAACAGCGTCCTTCGACGAAGTCGACCGCAATGTATTCCAGCGCTAACTTTTCGCAGACATTTGTCGGACAAAGCACAAGAATTCAACCAAAAGAGCGGTGTGAGAAAGTGCAATTTGAAGGACTGCACAAAAACTGAAAGCCTAACCGCTTGATCCAGCCTCATTCGTGAAATGCCAGATTCAATTCCGAAAATGATAAATGTTACGAGTAGCTATCACAATATAGCAAAGTAAACGGTCGATGATTTGTTCAGTTTTTCACAGAGCATGCATATCCAAATTCGGCATATTTATAGATGAAAACGGAACAGGCCATGCCCACGCGCATAGACAGCACGCACATCAAGATAGAGAGAGAGGACGACGTACAATACAACCCGCGACTCACTTCATAGCATTCACAATAGTTCTTCAAACAGGCGGAACGTTTGCAATTGCAGCCCCGTGTGTGAACGCTCTCGTTCTCGGAGGAATATTCTGATGAAAAATGAACAGGAAACAGAAGTGTCGATGCGTGAACAAGCGACTAACGTCTAACTCTCACATAAAGGTCCGGAATATTCAAAACAGATTTCCATGTGGACTGTGAACGTTCGATCAATCTCTTTCCTGTATGAAAAGATGTGAGGCACCCACTGGTCAAGGGAGCCTGCTGTTAGAACATGAAAATCAGCAAACCAGATACCAGATTTCAGGGTCAACGTAATCATCATCGTACGATGAAATACAGTGGAGCGAACTTCACTGATCACAGCCCTACTCATGATGTACTTAAACAGAGTGAGAATGGACAAGATGAACAGAGATTGGGTCTAGTTGGAGAGATGTGAAGAAAGTACATAATCTAAATATGCACACATACATTTCAGAGTATTATAGTCTGATAAAAAGTGACAAGAATGAAACTGCCAACGGTTTCCTGGCACATTTTTCAGTGTCTCCAGCAGACCAGTTGCAGCTTTTGCACCCGCAAACCGGAAGACGAGAGACTACTACTCTAGAGAATAGACCTCAACACAAATTCCTTCAATCTGGAATGACAACCTGAAATGAGGTGGGAGACTGTAGACAATAGCTGGGTATGCGGGATATGAGTCTTACCCAGCGGAGTCTGCTAATTCGGTGTGGAATCATTCCCAAGTATCCGTCGATTCGCCTTAAGACTTTTTACATGCTTACACCATCCGATCCGCGCCAAATTACGTAAACATCGATAAGCAAAGACTTTCAGACGATGAATATATTTGACACGTAAATTTAGAGTCTGGCGACTGTAAAGCAGAACTGACAGCACGGTGGTGCAGTGTGCGCGACCTTCCCGTTTCAACGAAATATCACAGTGGCAAAGGTGTTTCAGTGCTGTGTACGCTACTCCTGTGAAAGCCACAGAGGAATTAGTTTAATCAACATTGCACCTAAGCTTCTCGCTGGGATCATACTCCATCGATTGTCTGCCGCGCGTGAACGATGTACGCGTGAGAACCAGGCTGGTTTCAGACCTGATCGAGGCTGTGTCGACTACATCTTCACACTTGGTCAAATTCCAGAACATAGACACTCCTTTCGTAGACCCACCGTCTCTGTCTTCCTTGATCTGAAAGCGGCCTTCGACTCAGTCGACCGCTCTAGACTCTGGTGCTGCTTTTCCCTGGAGGGAATGCCCGAGAAGTTAATTTTAATCTTACAATCCCTTTAAACTAATCGCCGAAGCCGAGTCCGAGCTTTCACCCGAGTTCACCACAGAAAGTGGTGTTCGACACGGTTTCTCTCTCTCCTTTTCTATTTAACTTTGTCTTAGATTTAATTCTTGAAACAGCCCTATTCTAGTGCGAGTATAGCGGTATCGATTTACTCCCAAAGGGCAAACTGTTTGATCTAGAGTATGCAGATGACATTGTGCTACTAAGCGAAGATCCAGGTCAGTTGCAAACTTTTCTGGATAGTTTGAGTGCCAGTGTGTCCATGTTCGGTTAAGGGTTTTGCACCTGCAAAGTGTAAAATGTTACTACACAATGGGTTGGTCCAGCACCCAACCTCACCCTGACTGGGAAAGTAGTTGAGGAAGTAGACAAATTTCGCTGTCTGGTCAGCTGTATATCACCCAGCGGACTCAGCACAGATGAAGTGTCGGCGCGCATACAAAACGCTCGGTTGGCATTTGCCAACATCTGTGGCGCCCTCGCAACATCCGGCTGTCTGTGAAGGGCCGAGTATATCCTGCAGCAGTTCGACCAGTTCTGCTCTATGGTGCAGAGACTTGGCCATTAAGAAAACAAGATAAAGACAGACTGTCGGTGTTCGAACACCGCTGTCTACGTCGTATTGCACCAGTCTGGTGGGGAAGCCAGACGAGCAATGCTGAGGTTATGCGCAGAGTATTAGGTAAATGCGATCGCTCACTGGAGCAAGTGATCGGCCTCCATAGATAAAGTTGGTTGGGGCATGTGTTACGCATGTCACCTAACCTGTTACCACGGCGAGCGATGTTTGCCTATGC